CCTTGGGGCCCCGCCGAGGCACCATCTGTCCTGCAAAGCACTGAGAGGCGACGAGTAAACCCCTCAAAGAGTGAGTGAAGCAACGCAATCAATATGTATGTGTATGGAATGAGAGGCACCGAGGGGCTCAGATAGGAAAATGAACTCCACACCCGAAGGTCCCCCACAGTCCACCTCATGACTGGGAGTTGGAGATCCTATCATCATCGCCACCATGCTGCCACGCTGTACTGATGAGTCTATCCTGGGCACGATCACCTGCAGAAACAACAGTAGCCGTCGAGCCGCTTAGCGGCATGGCTCGAAGGCTAGCAGCACGAGTCGTGATATCTTCTAAAGAAATCTGAAATTGGAGAGGAGGGGCATAAAAGGCCATGAAGGTGCTGCCAGAGGGGGAGGTATACTGAAGGATGGGGTGGCTCGAGCGAGCCTGCAGTGCCCTCAGTCCGGCATCCTGAAGCTGCCCACGATGCGCCATGCTGAGCATACGCTCAGATCCTGCGATGTGCGTGAGCCTGGCATCTAGCCCTCCAGCTCTTCGTCGTCGCTCATGTCCTCGTCGTCCGCTTTGTTCATGCCCATCCTGCCGAGGAGCTTGAGCGCCTCCCTCTCGAGGCCGCCCTTGGGAGGACCCCCTGGTTTGTACTTGCCGCCGATCTTGAAGAGGGCCTCGCACACTGCCTGGTGCACTGTGCCGCCCTTGGGAGGACCCCCTGGTTTGTACTTGCCGCCGATCTTGAAGAGAGCCTCGCACACCGCCTGGTGCACCGTGCCCACGGGCGTCGTGTCGAGTAGATTTGGCTGCTCTGCAGCTGTGAGCTCAGCATGAACTGGAGCTTGTAGTGTGTCGGCTTCTCCTGCTTGCGCTTGTTGTAGTATGTGGGCCGCATTCTGCAATACCGTATCTGGTCCTGCAGCTGGTGAAGCGAGCTCCTGTCTCCTGCGATGTTGGCCTCCCAGTAGACCTTCAAGGCCTTCTTGGACGTCTCGGGGGTCTCTGGGTGCTCGAGCAGCGCCGTCAACAGCGCCAGCCACATGTGCGTCCATGGTGGGCCGTATGTGTGGTCGCGTCCAGCCTCCTTGCAGCTCTCGTAGTACTGCTTCCCTGCTGCGAGAACTGCCAGCACCAGTGGATGAGCGGCGGCGAGAATGAAACAGCTGTAGCAAGCGCCAATGAGGTCGGCCATGTCCCTGCTGTTGTTGAGACACAACTTGGTGAGAACTTTTACCAGTGCTTTGAGTGGTCCGAGGGAATGGCGCTGCATCGTGTCTTCCGTGGCTTGCTTGAGCTGCTTGAGGCGCCGCGGGCTCTTGGGTCCTCGCTCTCCAGCTGCTTCCCCTTCTGCTGGTCGTGCTTTGGGTTTGCTGACTGCTGGAAGCCCCCAACTGGGAGCCTTGGGCTTCCACTCCTCGCTGCTGGCCGCCGCCGCTGCTGCTGCCCCTTCTGGCATCTCGCACGTCGTATATGATAGGAAGAACAGTGAAGTGCTCACGAAAATGTTGATGAAGACAAACTCGATCGAGCCGATATGTGGGACAGAGCGGACATATGTAATTGGCATAGTCATCTTGGCCTGCGGTCCTGAACGTGTTCGATCTGCCCTGGATGCAAATCCCCGTCCTGAACGAGTCCTTGGTGTGTTTATACGCTGAGTTTCTGGACTCGAAAATCTGCCCACAAATAAAACACTGATTATCAATAGTGAGCAATCCCAGAATATTTAGTAACCCATGATGTTGATGTAGATGGCTAGTAAGCTGTCTTCTAGTACCAAAACTTTTACCACAACCACTAATACAGCATCGATAATCATCACCATCTCGGTGTTCTGGGAGATCAGGTTCTTGGGGATCTGGCCTGGCCTGGCATCCAGGGGGGGGAACACACACTGTGTATGTGGCCGCTCTCAGCTCGGCGATGTCGATTCTTCCGAACCAGTTCGATAGTTCAGGGTCATCGAATAGCTGAAGGGGGCGACGGTCCCAGTGCTCGATTTTTTCAGCATGTTCCCCCCCCAGCTGACTCAGACTCTGTACGTCCTCGACAAATCGGTGAGCCCATGGTGACGCATGTCCTGTGAGGTGCCCTTGTTCATCAATGATCTGGATACCTCGCTCGCGTTCAACCTTGATGGCAAAGAATAGAGCCCCCCAGTCAGCGGCATGATAGTGGGGTTCACGTATCCATTTCTGATACCACTTTAGACGACGGACTCGGAGCTCAACTTCTAATGGGGCTACTCTCCAGAGCTGCAGCACACGTTGGGATGTGATCGACCTGCGGTGTCCGTTGTGCCACTCAGTAGCAGCACCTCGAAGAGCTCGTCTGCCACAATCCACAACTCGATTCTGTATTCTAGCTAGCTGAGCAGCAGAAGGAAGGAATGCTTCAAGCGCTGAGACTGCTGGTCCAACTACTCGGCTCAAAAACATGGCCCTCTTCTCTACATAAGGGATGCGTGGCTGGTACCAGTACCGCCCCATAGACCAATATCCTGCAGAGACCGCCGAGAGTCGAGCTTCGAGTTCACTGCTGAATTTACTGTCATACCGAACGAGCGAACCGAGGTATTTAGCCACATCATTAGGTACCCCCGCCATAGGTAGGCCTCCAGACTTTATACTAGCTTTGCGGGCTTGTTGTCCAGGTCCCTGGAAGGAGATAACGCTTTCGTTCTTGGTGGGGTTGAGGCGGTAATTGCGACGAGCCAGACAATTTGCCAGAATAGCATCATACAAGAGAGATTGGCGACTGAGAGAGATGGCCCCATTCTCCGACGGGTGCGCAACCAGCTTGCGCAGCGCATCATCTACATAACTATGAAGAGACAGGTCAATCTCTAGTACCTCTTGTCCCTCTGGGTGAAGCTCGATCGTACACCAGTCTGCCGTGGGCTCCCCCGACTCGAGGTATTCAGCTTGCGCCTCCTCAAAGCAGTCTCCGATGTCCCGAACAAAAACCTTGACGGCCCAGGGGTCTCCTTGTAGCGCACCTACCCACGGTTTGGCAAATCGATAACCATCAACTCCACGAAAACAGACTGCCGAAAACTTGAACCTCTGCTCCCCATAGTAGTGCTCCCCCTCCCTCATGACCTCCTTGTTGGCTTTTTCTAGGGCATCCCAGCTGCTGGACCCAAAGGCGTTGCTGATATCCTTATGGTCGTTCACAAACTCAAGTCCTAGCTGCCGTAACCTCCATCCAAGAGCTTGCTGGGCGAGTAGAGGGGTCTCTCGACGACGACGAGCGATACATCCATGCGAGGAGAGGGGCTCTTCATCTTTCTGATCTGGGTCGATGCACGTGGCGATGAATGCCTTGCCAAATGGACAGAGCACGTGCACCACGCGCTTCCAAGAGAGTGCAGCAGCTTGCGAGAGGTGCCAAACCAGTGGGACCTGCCGAGAACGTCGAATCTTATGCATGAGTGAAACCAGAAAACCTCGTACAACCTTGAGCTCGATGTTGGGGGCCTCGTACCCTACCCCTCGGAACCGTTTGGACGTGCGCTTGTATGGGAAGAAGATCGTCCAAAAAATTTCCATGGGGACCGACCATTCTGGAACAGCTCTTCGACGCCCAGACTTCTGCAAATACTTGCGAATCTGCTGCAACTTTTTCTTGGCCCATTCAAGGCCCTCCTCAGTGTATTGCCCAAGAAAAAGACTGGCTTCCTGCCCGTCGGTGGGGTGATAGAGGTAGTCATTGGCATAGGTAACCCAGTCAATTGGTTCAGCCTGCATTCCTCCCTGAGCGGACGGAAGTGCCCATCTATCTTGCAGCTCCTGACTGGTAGGCAGGGCAGAGGGAGGGCGCCTGTAGTTCCTTTTTTTCGGTCCCGTCCCACGAGCCGAGAGCAGTCGCGAAAGCCTGGCGACCTCCGCCTGCCTGCCTACCCTAAGTGCTTCGTGGAGGTCATCTGTGACGTCCTGTCTCCACTGGTGTAAATACTGCCGCCGAAGAGATCTGAGCTGCCTAGACTTGGTGCGGATCTCCTCTGCAATCGAGAGGACGGCCTCAGAAGAAATATCAGTAGTGATCTCCAATCGAAGCCTACGACGTTGTCGGAGCAGTTCCAAGATGTGCTGCGCTTGCTGAGGGTAATCTGGAGACCTCTGAACTGTGCCTGCGAAGAATTTCTCTGCCGTATCCCTGAGCACCCTGATGAAGATCCCCCATTCTGCATTGGGCGTTTGCTCCTCCCTCCTCCTTCTCTGCCACTCCCCCTGCTCCTCGATCATCTTCGCCTCCAGTGCCTGCAGAAACTCGGCTCTTTGAGTGCCCATGCGCAGACAATCCATCAACGCCTCTTTGTTCCAGCGGACATGCCTAGGTACAAATCCCACTCTCTCGTCTGCCTGGAGTCCCGTAGCCTCTGCACCTGTAGTGGAGGCCAAGTCATACGAGAACCTGAGGTGGAGGGGGATGTGATCTCGATGATCTTTGTGGCGGATGAGTTGAAGCTTTCGAGCGAGCCGTCGGAGCGGACCTGCTGATGTCACCTGGTCCAGGGAACATCTGGGAATAAACACATAGTCGAGCATAGAAGTGCTACCTGATGGGCTATAATATGTGGGCCCAGCTCCTAAGTGAAGATTGACGGGGACAAAATCCAAATCCTTGAGAATCTCTAGCATTACATCAGCCGCATAGCGTTGCCGAACGGGTTCTACTGTCGATCCGAGACGATTATCTTTCACTGCAGTCCAGTCTTCGCTGCCGTGTAGCTTCTGAAGCCCAAATCCAGAATTTAGATCCATGGCCAGGATGGGGAAACAACGCGAAACCGCCAGGAAGGGCAGCCCTCGGATCCAATTCCCTATCCGATCACAAGTTTTTTGGTAACCCGTCATCTCAGAAGCTCGCTGCGGAGGAGGAGGAAAGTACACACTGGCGACCCCTATATCATACTGACTGCATCGGGCCCTGAGTGCGACCCCTCTCCCAGCGATGTGGGGAGGGGCAGCCCATGTGTGAGTGACTGTACCACGTCTCATCCGTGGCCCCAGCACGATGGTGCAGCCCGAGCTCTTGTTGCTACCTGGGGCGCGCGCCCACCCTGTTTCCACTGCCCATCTCTTCCCTGCTCTTCTCCACACCACCTCCTCTGTGCCATACTTTCGAGCTCCAGTCCCTGTGAGACATACAAAGTCGAAGCCCGTCGTGGTCTGGGCTATGTCCTGCAGTCGGTCATAGGAGCTCGCCGACATTGGATTGTACTGCAACACTGAAACTCCTTGAAGCCTGCTCATGATAACGCTGCTGATGGCCAGCAGCGACCGCGAGTACAACTTCACCCAAGACGATTCAATCATCGAGGGAAAGACATTGGGGCTGTGAGGCCGAGGAAGAGCCCGAAAGAAGTGTGGGCAGGGGTAGTTGTGATCTTCGTTAGCGGGTGTGTCCCCCCGCTGTGCAAAGGGGCTTAGGAGGAGGAGGAGGAGGAGGAGGAGGAGCACCTGCTCGCGGGCGGTCTCTGCGGCGACGGGGCCCCCCAGCGCCCGACCCCGAGAGCTCCGCGCGGACCTCCTCTGGCGCCGAGGCGCGCACCCCGCCTGCTGGCAGCTTCGGCGCCCGAGGCGGGCTCGTCGTGCAGTGCTCGAGTGGGGGGTCGGCTACAGAATCGATCTGCCCCGCAGCGGATTGTTCACGGGCGGAGAACGGTATAGAATACACTTGTTCGCCGTCGGGGGCGCCTGTCCCAGGGCGGATGGAAAGTTTATACCCTTACGGTGGCACCGTAGGGGTATAAACTTTCCAGCCGCCAAGGGGCAGGCGTCCCCGACGGCGGAACAGTTTATGTTATACCGTTCTTCGCCCGCTGAGATTGTCCCGCCGAGATCTACGACACAAACACGTCCCATGCCCCGTAGATCTGCGAGCACCCTGCGCGTTTCTGGTACAGTCGGCGGGGAACCCCACTTGGAGCAATTTTATTCTGTAGTCGACATCCTTTTCAAAGTGTGTAGACATCGGCGCCCCTCGTCGGGGTCTCGCAGGCTGCCGACGGCCCCGCCTCCCCCTCGCTTCTGGGGCCAGTTGCGTCGCTGGCTTCCGAGGGCCGGAGGTCGTGGAGAAGCTGAGCGGGGTCCCCGAACGGGGAACTCGGCTTCGGTGCGTGTCGTGTCTGACGCGCGTGCGGGTGAGGCGAAGACAAGAGAGCCTAGAATTGAATCGAGAAGTCGAGTCGGCGATCGAAGTGAATCGGATCGGCGGAAATCGGCAGCCGATTCGAGAGAAGTCGAATCGGCAGAAATTGGCAGGCCAGTAAGCATCCAATGAGAAATCGGAATCCACATTGGAACCCGAAACCGAAC